GCACACTGGCAGCAGTCATAAATAAACGAGTTAATCAACATATTGACAGAGACACGGCGAGACGTGGCCGAGACAGTTCACTCGGAGAAGCCAAGAGAAACACCGGAGAAGAAATGTATTAAACCATAAAGTGAATGCTGCATTAATGCCACTCGAGTGCGCTTGCTTTGCAGAAAAAGTTATTAAGTTTGTGTTAATGAAGAAAACAGAAACAAAGAAGCGATAAGGCAGAGGCTTAATGTAACAGAATTGCTATTTGCTGAATTGGCATTGCCTTATGGGTTTTGCAAGCATTTATTTGCCTGAATATTGAACCAAAAAATGCCACAAAAAACCATTTTAAACATTTTCCAAACTATTTCCCGCATTATTCCAGCTGCTGGGAAAGCTGTTCCTGTTCCTGTCAAAGGATGTGTTGTGTGTGTGGGAAAATGTAGGCAAAGTCGGTGGAAAATTACAATGGCTGATGCGGCTAATGATTGTTGTAATCGGTTTTTGCATGCGGTATGCCCCATGCCCGTGCCACAACATGACATGTCTCTAAACAGTGGCAGGGGCAGCGGCAGGGGCAGCGGCAGCGACAGCATCTGCTGGTGTCACCAGCGCCTCTTGCTGCTGCTGTAGCTCTTCCTGCTCCTGCCTTACCGACCATCGATTGCTGCCAGCACAGATGCTGCACCACATGGCGTGATGAGGGGTAAAAACACGTTCAACTGGCGTGCCAAATATGCGAATTATTTTCCACGCTGCAGGAAACAGGACAACGTCATTGGGCATTGCCAATGGCGGGGGATGGGGGGAGGACATCGAAATGGTTCGACACTGGACAGGGTGTTCTGTTCGTTCTCTTTTGGGTACGGTAGAATGTGTTGCTGCTGTCGCCTGCCTCACAGCGGCGACGGCCATGAATGAATGAAAAGTGCTTAATTGCTTGTGACGGCGTTAAATAAATTCTTAATTGCTTCGCACTTTGCGCGTTTGCAACGTTAATAGGATTTCCTGGCCGTCGCCCGTCGACGACTGCATTTTGTTCATGATGTGCACATCGCGGGCGATCCCGCTGGCTTTTGGCTACCAGAATGCTGCCCGGTCCGTGTCCTCTGACATTCAGCCGAAAAACTTCTTTCCTTTCGTGTGTTTTATTGCCGTTAATTTCCGCGGAATATTCTCTTTTGGTTTTGTTTCTGTTGTATAAATCCTTTTAGCCAAGTGTCAGACCATCCGGCGGCACATCATTTGCAAGGCAAAGCGCTAAATTTCATTTTTGCATACGACCCGCGACCATTACATCCCGGCCTCGTTACAGCACCAGGCAGCGCGTCAGCGGCGTGTCCTCTCTCTCTCCTCCGTCTGCGGCTGTTGACGTATCACAGAAAAAAAAAAAAATTAAAAATGCATTTGTGACATGCTCGTCGGAAAAGAAATGCAGCACACGTTGCAAAAACTAATGACTTAATAGCTGCGCCAGGATTGCGGCAAGGACGAACACACACACCCAGATACGCTCCACACCCTGGCTGCCCCAGAAGTGTGGCTGAAAGTGGGTGAAGCTGTCTGCAACAAATGCAAATCGTGCCACTCACCCGATTATGGCCAATTCGTTTGATGGCATTCAATAACTTTTGCGCTTAAATAACAATTACGCAAACTCGCTGGCTGGCAAACAATTACCCCGAAATAGCAGCAGAAGAAAAGCAAAAGAAAAGCGTAAGAAAAGTAAAAGAAACTCGTAATAAATGCGGATAAAGGGGACAGTGGACACTGCACACAGAAAAACCCCAAAAGTGAGCGAAATTTCTTGGTTTTTTCTTTTTTTTTTGGGTGAAGAATTTTAATTTTGCTTTGAGACAACTCCACGGTCTCGGGGTGAGTGCGGGAAATGTCTCTGGTAATGAAATTTACATAATTTAGAAGGACATTCGGAGCAACTTTCTTTCATTTTGGTCGCCTCGCCGCCCGCCTGCACGCGTATAAACAAGACATTTCCGCCACTTTAATTTTCAAAAGCTTACACTTGAGATTTTATTGGCCAATTCATTGTTGGGCTACTGAAATGAACGTAGGGGTGGGTAGCGAACGAAAAAGCGAAAGGGAAAGCTTGGAAAATGGCCATTGAAGTTGGCCAGACCCAGGGATTGCAGTTTTTCGAGAAAAACTTACACAGAATGTTTGAAAAGAATGTGAAAAAAAACAGTCAAATCGTTGAAAAGGAGTAGCAGAAAAGTTAATCTCAGCTGAAACGACCTGGCAATGCGCTGCAGACTTAGGAATCGACTGGAATTGGGTTCTTTTTGGTTAAAGATGAGTTGGTTCATGTTTGTTTTATTATATTTTAACTAACTTTTGCCTAAATGATTGTTTATGTCTGTGTTGTTGAGCGCTCTTTGAATTTTGGTATAAGATTTCTTCAATTTAAGCTCTTAGATTAGTTCGATGTACCCCGCCTTGCCTTAACCTCGAAAGCAATGCAAAGTAAAGTCAAGAAATGTCATCAAAGTTTGCCAATTTGCAGCTAATAATATTCTCATAATTTAGTTTGAACTATTCCAATTGTGCGAACAAGTTCATTAATGCTTTAATTAAAACAAAATTGGGGAACATTTGAAGCGGAAAGTGCGCCACTCTTACACATTCGTAAGGGGACACAACTGGGGATTATCTGGCAATTAAAATCAAGCATCAATTATGGAAGGTACTTAGAAGGTGACACAGCTTTTAGGTTTGGTTATAGGAGAATTTATTTTGAGTAGAAGCCGAATCTAAGCTTCCTTTTAGGCCTCGCCAACCCATAGACGTAACAGATTTACCCTCAACAAAAAGCATCACCTAAAAAAAAAGTGCAAAAAGTGAGTGTAGAGTTGGGTGTAGAAGGAAAAACTTTCTCCACAGCTGTCCGCTTGAGGCTCTTCGGTGTCCCCCTTTCCGGTTCAAGGGTGGGGGGCGGACGTCACTTCGATTTTCAGCTTGGCAACTTTAAAGCTCAAAAGTGCCAGGGTCGCGATTTATTTGAATAAAGTCAGTGATGGTATCGGTAAGGAGAATCTGCCATTGGCTTGCGATTTTCTGATGCTATTTTATGTTTGTCGTTTTGGTCCAACTGGAGTCGAACTGCTGCAGCTGCAGCTTAGCTCGGGAGTGGCAAACTTATTGAATAGTTATGACAAGTCATAATATAAAGTAATCCCCCAACCGATTGCCGTCTGTTCTGCTCTGCTCTTCCCTTTCCTTTTCCGCAGCGACCTGCTCAAGAAGCTGTCCGTTAAGGCTGGCCTTATTGGCTGCTTCCGTGGCTTGGTGGTCAATGGTGAGATACTCGACATCTACAGCTACATGTCAGTGCACCTGTCGGAGATTATTAAGGACTGCAAGCCATCCTGTGTGCCATCGCCCTGTCGCAACGGTGCCCAGTGCAAGGAGCTGTGGAGCAGCTTCAAGTGTGTTTGCAACAATCCCTGGGCACACATCGGCGAGTTCTGTGAGACAAGTGAGTGCGAGTGACTTTTACTTAATCATTTCTACAACTAATCCGAGACTCTCTTTCTGCCCCCGTGCAGACATCAACGAGAAGGCGCTGACCTTCATCAACAGGGAGTCCTTTTTAATGCGCAACTATCTGAGTGTGGGCGCCACACCGGCCATCCTGATGCACGGCCTGGAGGGTGAACGGGATGTACTCAAGGGCATCCTGCATCAGAATTTGCTCATCAATCTACGCACCTACGATTCCAATGCGCTGGTTGTCTATGCCAACGATCATTACAACAATTTTGTGCATTTGTACATCAGTCAGTACCGGGAGATTGTTTTCCTGTACAACTACGGCGATGAGATTGTGAATCTGACACTGCTCGACGATACGCTGATGGCCTCGAAGAGCCTGAAGAGCATCCAGGTGGCCATCATACGCGGCGAGCAGGAGACACGCATGCATGTGAATCAGCGGAGTGTGAGCATCGATCGTGGCACGCTGCTGCTGGATGAATATGCCAACAAGCCCTGGAGCAACCCGGAAAAGGGTGAGTGGGAAATGGGAACTTGAAGTTTAATTTTGCCTTTCTACAATCTGATTTTACACAAGTTTCTGCTGCAAAGTCTTAGCCAAAGTTAATTTCGGTTCGTTTTAACTGATCCTTTGGCCAGTTCTACCTTCGTCACTTCCAGCGGCTGCCCATTTTCGAGGCCTTGGCGTGTGTCGTGGATGTGCTGCTGTTTTGTGCCTCATCCTGTGCCGCCAGCTCCTCGTCAATGAGCAGATCAAAGTTGCCCAAGGCATCGGCACTGGGCACCTTGTTCCAGCGCACATCGGGCACACCATCGGGCGGCAGCACCACCGAGAGTATGTTGTCAATCAGTTTGTATTTGAGAATGCGATCGTTGACCGTGGTGGAGGTGAGCGACGGCGAGGCATTGACCTCCACCAGCCAGGGCTTTAGGGCATTGTCAATGATGATGTCGTAGCCGTAGCACTCGAAGCAATGCCTATCGCTGGCCATCACGGGTGCCACGGCGCGCAGGGAGTGAACAATCAGCCAGGAGATGGCACCAAACAGACGATCCGTGACTTCCTTGCCGCGCGTACCCTCGAGGAAGAGTGCCAGATTCTGGACGGACCATTTGCCGCCGTGCAGCGTGTTGTACTCGCCGCCATGCTTCTGGACACTCACATTGGTCAGGTGGACGTACATGTTGTCCAGTTCGGTGACACTCGTGTCGTACTTGACGGTGCAGAAGCGGCAGAAGCCCTGCTTGAAGAGGTACGCCTTGAGGGGGCGGAACGAGGCGACGAGGACATACAGCCGCAGGTCAAACTTCTTGCCGCCAATCAGCAGGGGATTGTCGATGTATCTGGATATGACATACGACTCCTTGGCAATCTGCGGATGAAACGGACCCTTCGCCTCGCGCGACCACTTCTTCAGCTTTGACAGCTTGTTGATGAGAAAAATGCCAGCGCCCTGGGACTTGCCGCAAGGCTTCATAATCCAAGTGCTCAGCGGAAACTTGCGATACTCCTCCACGAACATGTTGTAGTCCGCCGGCAGCACAAAGGTTGTGGGCACAAAGTCCAGGTACAGGTAACGATTGCCACTCGAGTTGTTGGACTCGGCTTTCTCTGCCAGCGGATTGCCGTCGCGTTCGAGGTCCTTGCGATACCGCTTGATGTTCTTCACGAGCAAATCCTTGCGCGACAGCTCGTAGTGATTGGGAAAGTGATTGATCATCTGATTGTCGTGCATCCGATAGCCACTGTCCACGCTAAAGATGTTGCGACAGGTCTGCACACCCGCCCAATAGAAGTGCCAATCATCGTCGCCGTTCACCTGATGCCAGCCGCGCTTCTCAAAGTTATTCACCAGCACCGACTTGTCCAGGTCCGTGCAGAAGCCAATTTTGAGCCTGTCATGGCCCTGACCACCGCCAGTGCCAGCTCCGCCGTTGCCACCGCTGCCAACACCAGTGTTGCCTCCGCCTCCAGCTGGATTGTTGTTGTTGCTGTTGTTATTGTTGTTACCCGGCAAACGTCCGTACATTGTGGCTGTGCTCTGGCCGAGCGTTGGCTTTAGACTGGCGACACGGCACGCCTGCGTCCAGTCACCGAGTAGCGTCTCCCCTGGCGTATTCATTTTGGGTTGCTGGCTTGGCTGGCTGTTGCCACGACGGCCAAGCACTGTCAGTTATTGAACCAACAAATTCTGTCGAGGTTGTTGCCCAAAAAAAATGCAAAACTCTTTTGCTTTCAGGGGTGGTGTTGGGCGGGGCGCCTCTTTTGTCATCGGCTGGTTGCCAGGCAGCGGCTTCGGCGTGGTCCTTGCACAGCAAAAATGTTCAGCAAATAGTTTTGCAAGTTAAGCTTCGAAAAATGCCAAAAATGTTGCCTCAAAAACAGCCACTAAAAATCTGTGCACACTGCGTGTGTGCATGTGTGTGTGTGTGTGTGTTCGTGTGTGTTGCCCAAATTATGTGCACTTGAAATTTTTGTACTCTCTGTTGCCTTTTCAGCCAGGCAATATGTGTCCGTGTGTGTGTCCGTTAAACTCGCTTGAAAACTGTTGAAATATAAAAACGAAACGCCATGTGAATGGATAAAGTTTTGCGCTTGCTCTTCTCGCTCTCTCTCTCTCTCTCTCTCTCTCTTTCCCTCCCTCTACTATAACTATAGATGGCAGAAAAACAACGAGTTGCTTTGTAGATGTTTGAAAATGTATTTCAAAAGTATTTTGTTCTATTTGTTATGCTCCTCTCTATTCTCTCTGTATTTTCTCTTGCCCAACTCAACACTTTTGCTCCGTTAATATGTAAATGGAACTGCATTTCGATAAAGATAGAGTGAGGGGATGTGGGGTGTGGGGGTGTAAAAACTTTTCATAAAAAAGGAAAACATACGCGGCAGCATATTTGATTTCCATTCGAACAGATTCTTTTACCAAATTGTTTGTTTAGCCGCGTTTTTTATTTGAAATTAACATTAAAATGCAGGCAATATTTTTTTATATCATTTATTCTTTTAAACTGGACGTTAAAAGCGTTCGCTTTGTGGCACAATTTGTGTAGAGGGAAATTCTTTATATATTTTATGGAGCGTATTAAGTTGTTCGGCGACATTTGTAGCATTTCCCACCACAACTTGCCGGGTTTTATACCCGAAAGGAAGCATAGTCTTTGTCTGTCCGTTCGGACGCGTACAAAGCGTCTCACAAGAGTTCCTTCTCGTTTTTCGTTGCTTTATTGACTTTAAGGCGCTGTTAAGATCCCACCACAAACATTTCTTACCCCAATCAATAAATCTCTCAATCTCAATTGCTGTTGAAATATCACTCTTCTCTGCTTTTCGTAACCATAAATGTTTTAGCCATAATTTTACTTGAGCAAGCCACAAATCCAAAACAATTAAGTTCGTCATTCGATTGCCATAAATCAACAGCACATTTCCAGACAATTTTCGAAAGGCTTTCAAGCCTCGCAAATGCTCTTAATTATGGGTCTGGGTTACATTTTGGCAACACTACTTCGTGGGGGGGTGGGGGAACTGCACTTCAGAGCTGTTCGAACTCGTTCCGTAACTCACCTTTCAATTGAATTTTGAGCTAAATGTTTCCATACACAGAGCGCTGCCAATTGGTAGTAGGGAAGAGGGCGGGCAGGGATGGCTCTGTGTGTGTGTGTGTGCTCTGTGGAAAATCAATCAAATTGCCCTGAACTCAATGCCAAAGCTATTTGCCCCAGCCAAATCAATCATAATTACTCCTCGTTTTTGGGGTCTGTCGGCCGTTGCAAAACATGATCCAAAGTACTTTATACAGAATAACGCATAAGCACTTTTGTAATTAAATGCGTTAATCAGACCTCCGCCCCATGGGTGGGTCCCTCTGTGACTGCTGGCCATGCCAGATAGCATTTTGGATGGCCAAACATTTCAATTAGACAAACTTAAACTCGAAATTGATGGGCCTAAACCTCAAACGGGCTGCCAGCCATGGCAATGAAGGCTCATTTCCGCACACAAACGGCACCGGACAGGCCAGAGCCAGTCGAGCAGGCTGGCAGGCGGCAGGCGGCAGGCAGCTAAGCCAAAATGAAGCCATACCCATGGCACCAGCCCTATACCGACCGACCGACCGAGCGACCCACTCACTCATTTGATTTTGTTTATTTGCAGAGGTTCTGTCGCCGCATCGCCCGCCCGCACCGCCCACCGAATACTTTCAATTCCATGTCGGCGGCTACGATCCAGCGAATTTGCTGCGACCCACCAATGTGGATGCACCGCCACTGGAGGGTTACATTGGCTGTGTGCGAGGACTGAAAATTGGTACGCAGTTGATCGACTTGGCGGAAATCAATGAAAGGAATATAGCGCCCAGTAAGTACACGGGCACGGCCCTAGCCCCGGCCCCGGCCCCCGCCGTCGTATAAATCAATTTTCACAGAGTGCAATTTTCGGTTTGGTTGTGGGCCTAATGCCATTTGCTCCTGACTCTCTCTCGCTCTACGATTCATGAGTCTACGCCTTCGCTTGTGGGTTGTGTGTGGTTGCATCTGTGGCTGTGGGTCCCAGTGCCGGGCCTTTGGCTAACTTAATATGCATGCAATTTCCGTTAAGTGCTGCCTCTACGAAAATGTAGAGCGTAGAGCTGGCCACTTTCGGGGCGCGCTAAGATTAATGCCAATGCGATAAGGCCGAGGCGCAGGCACAGAGCAACCCACATGGCGTATGATTTATGCGGCCACGCATCGCGGAAATTGCAACCTGACTTTGATGCGATTAAGCCAGAGCCAGAGCCAGAGCCAGAGCCCGAACTTGCACTTAACACTGATTTAGCCTTGCCAATTAATCCTACGACTCGTTACTCTTTCTCTCTCTGTGTTTTCGCTGCAGTCCAGGAAGGTGTTCTGCCCAATTGCCAAATCAAATGCGACGCGGAACCGTGCAAGAATGGCGGCATTTGCCAGGAACACTTTGCCGAGCAGCTCTCCACGTGCGACTGTGAGCACACCAGCTTTCTGGGCGAATTCTGTTCGGAGGAGAAGGGCGCCGACTTCAGTGGCGAGTCCACGCTGCAGCGCAAGTTCGAGCTGCCCGCCTCGGGCCGCGTTAACTATGTGCGCCTGCAGCTGGCCTTCTCGTCGTTCGACCTGAGGCGTGCCAATCGCATTATGCTGCTGCTGCAGACGGCAGCGGAGCGCAGCTACTACCTTTTGCTGGCCATCACCTCGGACGGGTACCTGCAGCTGGAGGAGGATCGCGAACAGGGCCAAACGGTGGGCGCTCGCATCGATCGGAGTTTCCTGAACAGCGCCCGCCACTCGGTCTACTACGTGCGCAACAGCACTCAGGCGCAGCTCTACATCGATCGCGAGCAGGTGCCCCTCACGGAGTTTGCCGCTCGAGTGCTGACGACCAGCGGCGAGGAGGGTGCGAATCGCGTACAGATCGGCGGCATCAACAGCACGGACTCGCGGTTTGCCGTCTTCAAGAGCTACAGCGGCTGCCTGTCGAGTGAGTCGTAAATTTCATCTTGTACAGCCATTAATTTCATTTTGGTCTCATCAAGTGGCGCGCGCTCCCTGCTCCCTGCTCCCTGCTCCCTCCCCCTTGTGCTGCTGTGGCTGCCGCTGTTGCATGCTGCAGCTTTATGAACTGAAGCAAGTCCCTGCCCAAGTGGAGAAGGGTGGCCTCTTTTGGGTTGCTCGCGTAAATGCTTCACATTGTTGACCAAAAAATTAAATTTATTTCTCCGCCATAAAAAGTCATTTCCGTTGGCCGTGGCCGCCGCTCTCGTTGCTGCCATAAATTGTGTCGAGTTTTTGCTCCCAAGATTTACAGTGGCTCATATTTAAATTGCTGCTTTGAATCGCCCCCAACCCTCAGCCCCACTCATCCGAGCAACCGCAGCACAGTGGCCAACACTTTGATTAAAAATTCACTCAGCCAAGCACTACGCCCACCGACAGGCACCACAACTGACAGAACAGCTGTTGGGGCACTGAGCGACACGCCCAGGCCCAGGCCACATGTGGCAAAGCTGTAAAATCCGCCGCTACTTGATCATACCATTAAAAAGCCATCGAAAGGCGATAGTTTCCTTTTTTTGTTTTTGCTGGCCATAAACATGGCGGAGTGGTGGAGCAAGCCACGGCACAGTGGGGCAGGGCAGCGCGATAAGTGTGTGAAATTTAGCTGCAGGTTGCCTGAAGAGAAAGCAATTTTAGAAGATATTTCTTTAAAGATTCTTTAAAGCTTTAGTGCAGATTTGGAACAGAAATGATTGAACTTTGTTTTCAATCAAATTCCCCAAAATAAGCTGGAAAATGTTGATACTTTTCGATCTGTTTGGGTGCAAAGAGTAAGAAAATGAAAGCGCTAGAACTTCATATCTAAACTGTAGCATAAAGACAGCATAAGTGAGAGACAGTTCCTCTTGTTTGTTTGTCATCTTTGGGGCTTTAATTGCAATTATGTGGATCATTAGTGACTCTTTTCTCCATCCCAAAAAGTTGAAAAAAAGCCACTAAAATATATTCAAATACTACCGCCACTTTTACTCCAGCCAAAACGGTTCCAATTGGCCTATGCCTACCGCTTATTCTTATATAAATGATATATCATATGTTTCCAATTACAGTCCACCCATTTTCCACTCCATTTTGTTACCCCAGCCGCTGCTGCACTCCCCAGAGAGTGTACAGTTCATGTTTCCATTAATTTGCCAACACTGTAGGCAGTGGCACGCCCCCCCTAAAACACAATCAGAGTATGCATAGAGGTGGCAGCAGCAACGTCGAAAGGCGTTTACCGTTGGGCATTAAAATTTTTATTGCTAATTTTGGGGAAACGCATAAAATACGCACGAACGACTTGGCCGCTTGCCTCTGGCCTAGTGAAAACATCGAAATTCAGTCGAGCTAGACCGCCACTCCCACACTCAAGAATCTCGATGCCGAAACGCAATTCCAATTTCCACTTGAACTCAAAGCATACACACACAAGAGACATTTGCATTTCAATTTGAATTAATGACCAATACTAATGAAAACTTGAACCTGAACCTCCCCAACCCAATCCAACCCCACAAAATACTCGCCCGAAACCGCAAATTGGGTAAACCAAAACCTGGATCTGCCTGCTTTTGGCCCACGGCCTACCCCCAGACATCTATATACAGGTGAACGGGCATGTTATGAAGCCACTCGAGGAGTATATGCTGTTCACAAAGTCGGGTGCGGACAACATAACCGTCATCAATCCGCAGGGCGTACGCAGTGCCCAGTGCAATGCCAAATTCGATGTGAGCGAACAGCCCACCCAGGAGCCGATGGTCAATGTGAGCATGGTGAGTACACTCGAGGGAATAGCAGTGGGACTGCTGCTGGGATTATATGAAGCAACCAGGCGACAAATTGAGCTAATGAATGCGGCCACACACTCGCATCTCTAGATACCTGAGCCTTGGGTGGAGGAGCCACCGCAGCGAGTGCCCTACATAGCCAGATTCGTGTACGATGAGAGCAAGAAGGAGGACTCCACGCAGGTCGTATTCCTCACGTTGACCAGCGTGTTTGTCATCATTGTTGTGTGCTGCCTGCTCGAGGTGTATCGCAGCCATTTGGCCTACAAGAAGCGCATCGAACGCGAGACAGACGAGGATATTATTTGGTCAAAGGAGCAGGCAACCAAAATGCACGAGTCGCCAGGTGTTAAGGCTGGCCTGCTGGGCGGCGTTACAGCCGGTTCGGGCAACGGCCTGCCGCCCTATACCTACAAGGCGGTAAGTAATGGCCTCAAGCTGAATTAACGTTGCATTTACTGTCTGTCTGTGCCCCGCAGCTGCCGCAAGAGGACAAGAAGCCCGGCAATGGCGCCCCCTTGGTGGGCATCTTGAAGAATGGCAGTGCGACGGCCTCGCAGCCTGACGCAGCCAGCAAAAATGGAGACATTGCCACGCGCGTCATCGATGAGGTGCGTGAGGAGGAAGAGGAGGATGAAGAGGACGCCTCCTCCGCGCTCTCGAAAGAGGAGACACAAAAGGATGCGGCTGAAGCAACTTCCACAGCGGAGCCAACGCCAGAGGACACTGCGGCTGCTGTCTCGGGGCCAACTGGTGCGTCCCAATATAAATCACTGAAAAATCCCACAAAATATGAACAAATTGTACTTTATTTTACGGCCCCTTAACAGAGTCCGTGGCCGAGTCGCCGGCAGTGCCGCCGCCTGCTGCTGCTGCCACACCGAATGGCCGGCTGGAGGCAGAGGTGGAGGTGGAGGTGGTCGTCGTCCCACCATTACCGGTAAGCACTGGACACGAAACTCCACAGAATCTTATCAAAATGGCGCCGCTTGTCACAATCAGTGAGACCAATTTGCATGAGGCATGTGGCAGCGGCCTTGGCATTGGCATGTAAATAACACGAACACCCAGCACACACCCATACTAAAACACAAGAAGTTGAGCCTGGAGCTGTCTGTCATTACATAATGCAAGGCATGAAGTTGCATCAACCCAAAACCCAACCTACACACACCCAAATATTTGGAGTACATAAGGTATATAAAGTATACTTTATGTATCTGTTTACATTCGCCATTGATTGGGGTCATAGAAGTGGATAAACATGGTTTATGAAATCGTGGAATCATTTACGTATTATATTATATTTTAATTTTCTGTATTTATGCTTTAATGCCCCCAAATTTTATTTACTCGTAATGTTTGCTCTTGCATGCCCCTAATGTTTGATGTGTTTTTCCTCACTTGTTGGGTGGTAAAGCATTTAAATTTTGTTTATTTTCCGTGTGAGGCATGGCACTCTTTCGCTCGCTCTCTTTGTCTGCCCTGTTCCGTTTAATTAAATTGCATTTAATTGAATTTAACTAAATAAACACAATATATTTACAAGGGGGGAGTAAATCGTGTGAGCAGTTTCTTCAGCAGCAAACAATTTCCGATTTGTTATACACATATATAATCGTAATTTAATGGTAATACAGCCAGTTGCTGCTTTAATTGTTGATATTGAATGACTGTTTAATTAAATTGAATACAAAAACCTGATACCCGCACCAGCAAAGTACGCATAATGTCGAAACAAAAGACGAAAACTATTGACAATTGCCTTAATTCATTGCCCAGATGCAATTGGCTGGCTCAATAATAAACGCTGCCTGACTGGCTGTGTGTGTGGCCGAGAACAATGCTTTAGCCAATTCAATTATTTCTCAATTATTGTTTAAGCCGATTAACGGGGACACACGGCACTATCAAGTCGAGTGCATTAATTCCACCACAAGGTGTATGAATGGTTGAAAAGCGAGCAGCACCCCTCCAAGTGTGTAGGCCATAGATTTGTGGGTTTTATTATTTGAACTTGAAAGGGGTGAACAAGAGAGAGAGAGAGAGAGAGAGAGAACACACAGAAAATACAGAAAAGGGGTAACAACTCGAAGCTATTTTTCAACGATTTGTGGGATAACTTGAACATATCTGGGATCTCTGTTTACTCAAGTCTTGACTTAAAAGCTCAAGAAATGGCGCATGACTCTTGATGTGCCATTGTAGAGGGTGTTCATGTTTCAGAGCTACTAATTGCTTAAACTGGCCAAGGAGTCCTCGCTCTAACTAGAAATAGAGGAATATCAGCCGCTAGGGTCAGGCAACATTACTTTATTCCCATACGAATCTTGAAAGTCGTTCTCAAATAAAGTCCAACCAAATAAACTGAACTAAAATCATATTATTCATAGCATAAACCTAGCTTTTTATCACTTCAGACTCCTCCTCTCCTCCACCGCTGCAGAAGAATTACTTTGGTTTGATCCACACAATAGCACTTGCTTTTGAAGTAAGCTGCTTCGACTTGTTTTGCTTTGGTTACAGTTCTCCGTGAAAGTTCCTTTTTCTCTCAGCATCCTTTCAAAACTTTCCAAACGACTTTTGTGTGTGGTTCGCTTCTTTTGGCTCGTACCAATGCCGATTTTCCTATTTATTTTGTATATTGGCCAATTCATTTCCCTTTTGTGTAAAAGAACATTCAAACTGGAACATTTGGCTTGCCTCTGCTGTTGTGGCCAGAACAATTTCTTAAGCAATTTCTTCGTGCTGGCCAGCAGCTCTCCGTTCCTATTTTTTTGCAGCCCAGCCAATTGTCCAAAATGTTATTTAATAGAAAAAGTGCTCGGTGCAGCACAAAAGTTAAAATGCCTCACAAATAAATTGAACTGCATTCTCTCTCTCTCCTTTGTTAGAGCCCAAAGACATTTGCCAAATGAATATGCGTTGCGGGTACAAGCGGGGTAATAATAAGAAGAAAATTCAGGGTTGGCAACCCGAAGTTGGGGATACACTTATCTTTGGTTATCTTTTGCTCCAGAAAGAACAACCAACCATAGCCAAATCGGCTGACAGAGTATTAAAAGCCAGCCAAAATGGGGAACGTGAGGGTACTCTGCCTGCCAAAGGAATGAACTTTTGAGTCCAAGAATAGAATAACAATTTTTGCAGGGGCCACAATTTATGGTACAATGGGGCTGGGGCTGCTGCTGCCTCAGTCTGCTTTATGCTTATCAAGTGCTGTCCATGATTTATATATATATGAATTTATAGTACGGGCATGGAGTGACTCCTTTTGGGCAGAAAAACTTAAGACAAAACCTCGAAACTAAGCAACAAACGCAGCAAGAACTTTCCACTTTTGCACCGACTTTTCGGCACGCCCAAAACAAACTTTCGACTGAAGACGAACCGAATCCTCCCCGAACGTCGAACCCCGGAAAATTTGGGGAAAAGCAAAATATTGAACTTATTGGCTTTTATGTAGTTTTAGCCTGGCAAAAGTGTCTATCGAGGCGCTGGCACGAGCTGCAAAACTGTCTTGGGGGGGTCCGTGGGGCATGTTACTTTTGAGCTTACTTAGCATGTACTTTGTCAGGGGCTTAAGCTGCAACCAAATTGAATTTCCCGGGATCTCCTTCAGGCCAATCGGGTGAAATCTTTCCCGCTGTCGCTGTCGCTGATGCTGCTGCTGCTGCTGCTGCTCCTCCGCCTGCCACACTGATGCACATTCAAATCTTGCAACGAATTTTCTTAGTTTTTCCGAACAGGCGACACCCGAAAAATAGCAAAAGTTACGCTGTGCAAAGTGCGTGAGGCATTGTCTACGCCAAGCTCCCACCTCCCCCTCTTAACCTTCCTTTACATTTCTACTTGACTGGCGGCGCTCTAGCCTCGCTGCAGCCTGATTGCAAAGCAACCGAAATTGAAGCGCACTCAGAAACTTTTTTCCTGCCTCAAAATCAAAAAGTTTCGCTTACGAAGGGGTGCGGCGGTGGGGTGAGTGAACGCTGGTATAGGTGGAAGGAAGCTGTGTGTGTGGCTTTTGTTTAAGGAGCAGCAAAAAGTGCAAGTGCCCCAGCTGCTGTTGGTGGATGCTGCTGCTGCTGCCATACTACTGGTTGAGGTTACTCCTGTCATGCATGCCAAGTTTTCTTTTTATTCCGAAATGTTTGTGGGCGTCTTACCGCTTTTCTTTCATCTTTCGCTGCAGCAGCCAGGCAACCCTGATGCAGTGCACTCTCCCCTCCCTTTGTTGCTGTTCATTTGGGCCTCGCCGCAAACGCAGCACGCACTTAACTTTTCCAGCCGCCACAATGCTGCGGTGAAACTCATTACGAGCTTAGAATGCAAAAACGAAACCCCAAGCAGCAACAACAACAAACTCTGACGCTGACGCTGGCGCTGCCCTTGCCCTCGTCTTCCTCTTCGACGCTCTTAAAAGCACACAGAGGGAGCTCTGCTCTCCGCCCTCTATCGTTCAGTCTTCCGTTTACTCTATCTGTGTGTGTTTGTGTGTGGGTGCTGCTGTTTGCCCAAGTTTTCTATAAATCTTAATGAAGGCAAAGAAGTCGAGTCGACTTGAGCTAATGATGTGTAAATTAAAACGCAAGCCACAATTTAATAAACAGAAACCGAAACGGAACGGAACGGAACGGGTGCTATTGGTGGGGTAAGCAAACAGTTTTAATTTGTCTCAAAGAAGGAAATCAATTTCAATTTTGTTTGTTTATGAGCGAAAACTATTTCGCTTGGTTCTGTAACGCAAATACGAGCAAAAGAGAGTGAGAGAGAGAGAGTGGGGGTTTATTTTAATGGATGAATAATTCCGTTTCCTTTTTCCTCTTTCTCTTTCCTCTTTAATTAGTATCTTAAGAGAAAATCCTATAACCGATATACATTAAGTCTCTCTCTTTGCTTTCGCTTTCTGTGAGCTTGTAATCACCTGTGTGTGTGCTTGTAAGCGAAATGTTTCCTCTTTAGGGCATGTGCATGTGCTTATCTCTTACTAAAAGCTCTAATTGAAGTGCTGTCCCATGCTAACGCTCGCTCAGTTACATGGCTCATGCTGATTATTCTTACCTGATTTGTGTTCCCTTTGGACAATCCAGCCTTTGGGCGAGTCACGGCATAAAAGAAGACTGTGTGGCGCAACAAAGAAAGTGAGCAGAGGGAGAACAATCAGCCGTAGTGAGAACAATGAGCACGGGACACAATGAGAGCGCTTGGGCATGGGCTTGGGCACTTCAATGGGCGCTGGCTCTCTTAATTCTGGGAAATTCAAGGCGTGCACTGGAGCTTAACCTTGACTTACTTTAATTTGATTGAAGGCATATTAAATGTACCAACAGCTGGGAAATATCGCGTTCTTTAAATTCTCTTTCTGTGCACGTTAATTAAATGTTCTGTTCCTCTGCATGAAACTCGACTAAACTGCATGCAACGGCAAAAACATGACATGCAACAAACAGAACGCAGCACATGTAGCAGCAGAATGAAGCAAAACTAATTAAAGAATATTCCGAAAAATACGAGTATCTTTGAGAAGAGAATGTCGCCGTCAAAAGAGAGAATGCGAAGAGTGGCAAATATTTTAAAACAAAGAATATGAAATGAAAAAGTTTTTAATAAAAAGCAATACGAAACATTTCTGCAGCAGCAGCAGCAGCAGCAGCAACATGAAAGTCAAAAGCAGCAGCCGCTGCCGCCACAACAACAGCAACAACGACAACTGCCACAAAGAGCGGCTACACTTCAGCAGCAGAGTAGCAAACGACGCAAGCAGGGAGGAGGAGTGGGTGCCGGAGCTGGAGCCGGAGCCGGAGCCGGAAGCGGAACAGGAGGAGCATCGGCAGGTCTCGCAGGAGCTGGTTCAGGCCCACCAACTGTGCGGCGACAAGTGTCTTGGGGTCCGCCAATCGTTGCCGAAACGGATGTAGATTTGGCCGCTGCCACAGGCAACAACAGTAACAGCAGCAGCAGCAGCAGCAGCAACAGCAATGGGGGTCGCAAAACGGGGGGCAAGCAGAATGGATATCATGGCGTCAATAGACGCGCGACAACCACCAGAAACTGACGAACCGAAGAGCAGTGGCAGAGACAGAGGGAGCGGCGTGTATGCAAAAAAACATGCCAAAAAATATGTATAAAAGCATAAATATTTAGGCGAATGGATGGGATGGCATGACAACAAGGCAGAATAAATAAAGCACGAGAGTGCGGAGAGAGCCAGCGGATATAGAGGATGAACCAAAAAAACAAAAGCAATTTGTATAAATAAAAAACAGACACAAAGCCAGAGAGACGGAGAGACACCGAAACAGAGACAAAGACAAAACAAATAATACAAATTGCAAGCGAAAGAAGAAGTCCTTGAATTCTCATGTATAAAGAAAGAAAGCTGTCTGGCAATTGACATGAATATTTCTTAAAAATTGGCTAAAACTTAGTCAAACAAACGGAATTCAAACTAAATGAAACTTTAAAGTCAATAAATGTGGTCGAGAAATGGCTAAAAATTAAATTTAGAAAAGTAATTAAAGACTTGGAAAAGAAGCTGAAGAAGGAACTCAAACAAATGAAATGAGAAACGAAATGCACGAATAAGTGATAGATAGACGAAACGAATTTAAGTTAAAAGAACGTCTGAATGTTGGGAATTTTATTTTAAAAGAACTAAAGTAAATTAAAGCATCAATGTAGGATATTTAATCAAAAGAATGGATAGAATTCCTTAAGGTTTAATGGGCATTGAAGCAAAAAAGGAAACGTGAAACAGAAACAAAGTGCCAACATGTTCTCGAAACTCATTTAAGGGTTAATAAATACGCAACTCCATGAAACTACATAAAACTGAAGTTTTCACAGCTACCAAAAGTTGTGCCCAATAACAATTATTGAACTATCAATTAACCCACGTTGTGCTCGAAACTCATAAACTATAATTAAGGTATATCTCTGATAACTTTAGAGTTAAGTTCCGAAATTGCTTGCTGCATAATTTGTATTGTGGAAAAACTGTGAAAACTGAAAGCAGAGTGAACGTAAAGTTGCATCTATTAAGTTTTAAGAATTGCACAACTTTTGCACGCTTTTCTTTCATTTTCTTTGGTTTTTCTCTTGTAATTTTTCTCGCTGTGTGATATACGAAGGTAATAAAAGTAAAAGTTCTTTGGCAAGGAAGAAACTGAGATTGAACTGGTGCGAAGTAGGGGTTGTAGGGGAAACCTTAACTTGTTTCATATTAAATTATGAGAAATTACACACATCAATTTATTTAAATGCGTTTATTAAAAAAGTTTCGAACAAAAAATGCTGACAGCAAGAAGAAAGACAATATGTATTGGAGAAGGAATGACACATTGGATGCTCTTGCAGATAGATTTTCTCTTTGATTAGGTAATTGCTAGATTAGCTTTTAAAGACTTGCAAAGATTCATAAACCTTCTTGTCAGCGTAGCAAATCTCTGTGGAATTAAATACGAGAATACCTCAGGGAAGGGTATAGCAAAGCACAGCCATCAACCAGATTGACAACAGCAAGAAGATGAAAGAGAAGAAGGAGATGAGAAGCAGCGGGAGAGGAGAAGATGGACAGAGTAAAGCACACATAATGGCACTTCAATATGTGAGTGTGTGGGGGAGAGCAGGACAAGCGTAGGATGGAGCAGAGAAGCTTGAGCATGTGAGCAGGGAGAGAGCAGGTTGAACATGTGGGGGGAGAGTAGCAAGAACTCAACACAGTGCACGGTGAGGGCACTGAGCAGCAGAGGCGGCCAACAGCTTGTTAGTGGCTTTGCTGGTCAGTACTTTTAACTAATGTGTTTTGTGCGACCATAGAAAATCTCAAGTACTCACACAGGCACACTGGCACACACATGGACACTGGGGTGGAGCGCACTTAACATTCGCTGTTCCTGTTACTCTCCATTTTTAGGGTGCCAGCCGGACCGCAAAGGGTGTGCTGTGCATGTGTGAGGACGTAAAAGAGGAAACAAAAAGGACAGAAGCAGCCAGCTTCTTCAGCTTTCGCCCTGTTATGCTGTTGCCTGCATAAAATAACCGCATAAAATGTCGTTAAGTATAACGAAATTGAGTCTGCACATAAATTCAGATTATGAGATTAAAATGTTGTGATTTTCGCACATCGGAGCAAAGGCGCAGAGTAAAGTGTAGCCGAAAAACCCTTTTCATAATGAAAGCCAGTCTGGTAGAAGGGTCTCGGGTATCCCACACACACACACACACACATTGAAGATTATTGAAAAATGCGATGGAATAAGCAATAGCCATAGCCAACAGAGCCAGAGCTAACGGATGGATAGCAGCAGTCAAGCCAATTTAATGAGTTTACAGCGCCCTTTTTGCCTTTAAGCGGAATTTTATGAAAAAACAACACATAGTTGAGGCACAGTGGAATGAAAATGTGATATGTTGAGAGCAACAAAGAGCTTTTCTCCTCTTTCTAATTCTCTTCAAAACTATTCTTCAGTGAACCAAAAGAGCGCAGAGAAGAGCGCTGTCGACTCTTTCTTTGGCTCTCTTTAAAAAGGAGAACGAGAAGAGAGAGACGCAGAGATAGAGCATAAAAGCAATCAGAATATCAAAATGGATAACAGAGAACAACAGAGACTTTCTCTAGCAAAAACAAAAGCCTTTTAAATTGCTTGAATCCAACAACTAAATCCCACACCACTGTGCCCTGTACCCGCCTGTAGAATAATAAAGAAGTTGCGGCGCTTGTGGCCGGCGATCAAAGCCAAATATTTGTCTAGAATGTTTACAAATTTGGGTCAGCTGGTCATTTGTCCGCACCCAAGCCGACATTTTCATGTGAAATTCCCAAAATATGGAACGAACCTCGAAGGAATGCTATCAGCTGTCGCTGCATTATAATGCTAATTGCGAGGCCAGAGAGCCACAGCCACGGACACGGCCACGGCCACTGCCAAAGGATTAACATCATCATCGATGAGTGCATGGAAAGTGAACAGAGAACAAACAGGAGAACTTGCTGCGAACCCATAAACAGTTTAGTTTGACTTAATCCGGTTATGTATCCGGATTAGCGGAGCGCGTCAAAAGAGCGTGAGAGAGAAAGAGCTAGTTTTTTGCGCTCCTTTTGGCACACTTTACGACACTTTTTAGGTAATGAATGGGATTACAGTTTTTTTTTGTAATCCACTGTGCCCACAGCCCTGAGACGCGGGGCAGCTGTAAAAAATCAAATGACTCGTAAAAAGTGCAGCTCAGGTCATGCGGCATTTGATTGACCTGCGCCGCCGCACCTCTCATGAATGGACGGGCGGACGGGCAGCCGGGCAGGTCAGAAAAGGTGTCGTCGAATGTGTATAAATTCAGGAGCCAGCACTGACGTAACCAACAAACGCACTCAAGCACTTCAGCAACCAAGATGTGTCCCATGCAGCAAAAAAACAACGCAAAGCCGACGGCCCAGCAGTTGCCACAGAAACAGGAGGCAACTGAGACGACGAGTGGGAGTCCGATGCCGCAACCGCCGTCCCCCACCGCTGCCTATGTGATGTTCAAGCACCGCGAGGAGCTGCGCCGACGCAACGGGCAGACGGCACGCGCTTCCATAACCAAAATTCATTTGACCACCGAGCTGATAGCTCGCACCAAGCAGAACATACGACAGTGCAGCTTCGAGGATCTGGCCATCCTGGCCAGGGAGACCGTCTTCCGGAAGAGTCTGCAGCGACGCCTGCACTACCGCCGCATGGAAATGGGTTTGAAGAGGCAACTGAAGAGCACAAACAGCAAGTGAGGAAGGTGCTGCATGGCAGTGGAGTGGGAAAAGTCTGACATAGAACAGCACAAGTGATTCCTATTATAAGATTGTACATATAACTTTAATTACTTTAATTGAATTTAAGTTCTGAGATATTTCCAAAAACAAACGTAAATTAAACTTCAATCAAGAGAAAAGAGACAACATTTTGCACTTGTTATCCGCTTGGATCTGCCTCTTTCCCGTGTGGCAATTTTCCATTTAAATATTTGATAACCTTTCCCAACACTGACAATGCAGTTTCTGTGGGGTGTATAAACAAATTTACACATGATTACCAGGACAGAACAGAACAGAACAGAACAGAACACTGCTAACATTTAATACAATTCAAACAAAATGGTGCGTTGCATAAATTTGAACAGGCAGTGAAGCGGCAGTGGTGGCGCCACTCCTCTCCTCCTTGCAGCAAGTGCTTTCTGCTTCGTCGTCGTCGTTCGCTGTGGTGTAGACAAAATTTTTGCCTTTTTAGACTACATAAATTTTAATTAAATGTCACTCATACGCCATGTATGCCAAGCACAATGTACGTAACGTAACGTAACGTAGAGTAGCAGTCGCTGCCCGTGACTGCAAGTGTGAGGCAGTGTGGGTGCATTTGAGCGCTTGGGAGAGTGTCGGAGCGAAGAGAGTGCCACAAATGAATGCACGGAGAAGTGGCGCACGAATTACAGTTTATTGAACGGCAGCAGGGCAAAAGGATGAGTGGTGTAAGGGGAAAGTGCAGAGCAAAGTGGAGCATCCCAAAGCGAAGCATAGAAACAAAAGGGGAGAAGCAGCGTGGAAAGCAAAGAGAACTCTTGATGCCACAAATCCTAAATGCTGCTGTTTCCACTGTTCTGCTTTTGGGAATATTTTCGAGTAGCCACTATCTAGTGGATACAATTTACAGTTTCTCGCGTGCAGCTCTAATGCAGCTCTCGCTCCGCTGCTCTTGCTGATCCCTTATTTGTACCTTGCTCTACTAATTCCACTCTGAAATCGCATCATCCTTGCTGCAAAACGATGAATATACCCAAACAAAATCCTAAAATTGCTGGAGACGAACACGAAGCCAATTGCCCTTCCGCTGGTTAGCAGCTTGCTCTAATTATTATTTTCTGCTTATTTTTCCACAACTTTTTTTCGAACCAGCATTTTGTTTGTTTCCCCAGAAGGGGCTGTGCTGGAACTGGTCTCTGCTGGGGTTCAAATCTGTGGCGTTTCCTGGTTTTTCGTGCATTTTCATACCACTTTCCGTGCATGCATTATTCATGTGCTCTCTCGCTCTCTCTCTCTCTCTGTCTACCCCAATTACTATGGTCCAGCAGGCTGGGCGGGGTAGGGGTATCCCTTAATGAAAAACCATCATGGCCAAACAATATCTTTCGTTGCCATTTGCCCACTTGAAACTTTTTCAATAATTTTTAACATGTATGCGCCGAGTCTCTCGCTCGCTCGTTGGCTTGTTGGCTCGTTCTTTCTTGACAAATTAACTCAAGAGCGCAATGAAGTGTTTATTGTGCCTGGCAAAAGTTTATTCCACGCTCTTTCTCTTCTCTTAAGGCGTTGCCAGGGCAAACACACACAAAGAGACTTCCAGAAAAATGCACGGAGGGATTTTCGTAGATTTACAATTGGCGAGAAATTGCTAGCGACACTTTATAGTTTCGGATTACTTAATTATAATTGAACTTTAATCGGTTACGTTTCTATTGGTGTTCTCTATTTTAGTTTATTTAACATTTAAGTTTCATTTAGCACTACAATTTGATGGATGAATACATGATTCAACCACTGAAATGTTGCCGCTTTCTAATGGCTAAAGTCTGGCATTTAGGCACTTAATATAATTAAAATCAGATTTTCATTAGCAAAAACTCCCACCAATTGGAGCAGTTATAATTATCATGAAACCACAGGAAGGCAATAAATGTGCAATAAATATCATGAATATTAATTTTTATATCAAATTGTATGGAACATTATTTGAGTGATGATAAATATTTCGTTGAAGATGAGTTAAGCAGGGAAGCATTTGTACAGACAGCTCGCAGATACTGCATAGATCCAAAAAATGCACAACAAGATAACCTCATTACCGAAATGGACCAACTGTTATTCCCACTGGGAAACTCCTAGTCACGAAATATCAGTCTCCCTTCTCAAATCTCTTTATGAGTCGCTCCGCTTCCATGTACATAGTACATAATAATAATATTAACAGCATTGTAGGACGAGCATTAATGTCTTCTTCATGTGTCCCCGAGTGTATTGTGTGTGTGTGTGTGTAGCCATGGCCATTGAGCGGAGCGAAGGCCAGAGAGAGCGTAATCGTCATGGTGGCTTAAAGCAATTTGTTATTAATTTCCGCGTTGAAAAGTTGAAAAAAAAAATCAAACAAAACGAAGAAGAGAAAACATCACCAGAAACAACAAAGTTTTTTCTTTCTTTTGTTTGTGCTGCCGTGCTCTCCCTCTCCCCCTCCAGCCGGGAAGCCAGGAGCTAGTTCCATCTCGCTCTGTCGCAATGCCACTCGGCATTCATTTAATGCGAAAAGTTATTGTTGTTTTTGCTGTAACTGTTTGGTTGTTGCTGCTGTTGTTATTTGTGTTTGTCGTTTGTCGTTTGTGTGTGGTTGCCACATTAAAACATGGCCCATAATGGTTAACAAGGCATTTTGCTTGTTTGACCATCGCAGAGAGACCAAATGAGCATCAGAACTTGTGTGCTTACGATGTCCAACATGTGTAATAAATATATTCCACTGACGCGCGGGGCAGGCCCACAGTCCGCTGCCAGGAAAATGCGTGTCCTGTCCTGTCCTGTCTGTAGTTTTGTTGAGAGAGTGGAAAGTTGGGTTAAAGTATAAATTATGGGGAAAGTAAGGTAGTAGCAGTCTGACTTATTTGTACCTCAGACGCCCTTACCTTTATTTTATTTTACCTTTTGTTGGGTTGCAGTGGAGTTTGGGGCGGGGCCTATCTGTGTGCTTGCCTGAAAGTTTTGTTTGTCTGGCAGGTAATAAATTGGAATATGCCGCTACTTTTCGCTCGCTCTTCTCTTCGCTCTTCTCTTTCACTGCTCGCAGCTCTCTCTCTCTCTCTCTCTCTTCTCTTCTTTCCGCTCTTCCTGCGAGCTCTGCATGGAATGACGTGGCCAAAAGTATTACAATATTTGAAATGCAGTTCTGCAATGAAAAATGTCTGAACAACAATGTTAATATGGCTGCCAAGGGACACAGGGGTAGAGCAGAGGGGGGATTGCAGAAGTGTGTCAGTGTTGGTGCTGCATGAAAGTGCAAGTTTTTGCTTATTGTTGGGTGCCGCTGCCGGTGCTGCTCCTCGAGTAACCTTCAGCCAAGAACAATAAAATTGCACAGAAATGAAACTGAAATGGGCCCCCCCCCCCCCTCTCTCCTGTTTCTTGTGCAAATGGAAAACTATGAAAAGCAAAAGGCAGCGCCAACAGCGTGGAAAAAATAACACTTTAAATGCGTTCTTAATACACTTTAGGACAGTGAGGGGTAGCAGAGTTTTCATAGAGCTCTTGTTGGAATTACTTATTACTCTTTAGCTGTCAGTGTATAGCCCTAGTCGTTGTGTTTCCCCTGCAACATCTTTGTGCACATTTGGGCTGTATGTAAATGTTGTCCCGGCCAACACATTTGCACTTGACTGAAACGCGTTAGTCCGCTTGCCAGCCAGCCATCCTGCCAGCAGCTGTCTTGGGATGTGTTAGAGAGTGGGTGTGGCACTGGCAGGGGGGCGTGAGTGGAGGTTTTCGTGAAGTGACTGGCGGGTTTCATGTAACCAAGACACCATCCAGCAGCAGCAGCAGCAGCAGCAACAGCAACAGCAGCGACTGATGTGGCGCCATTGTTGGGGCTGGTTTAGAGTGCAGCCAAATGGATGCTGGGCAACGGGCAACACACATGCACACATGTACAGACCCTTGCTTGGCATTTATATTAACAACATAAAGTGCCAAATCACGACAGGTGCCAAAATCCAGAAGCACCAGAAAACTGCAACTATTTTCCCTGCAGCAGCAACAGCTTGAGCACCTGAACCCCGATCAATCCCACCTGCACCCTTTTTTTCTGCCAAAAGCTTTGAATAATTATAAAACTTTATCTCTTCTCTGGACACTCACACACAACCGCATCTACATTGTCCTTCACTTCCATTTCCATGTCCATTGAATGTCACTTTGACTGGACTAAAGCCAAATAGAATTAAACCCTGAAAAATATTTGATCTAACCTCCACCCTTCGTACCAGTAGCCGCCCACCCGCATTTGTATGTGTCCCAACCCCAACCCCAACACGCCGCACCCCCACCTGACCATTTTCATGCCCAATCTCTCGCAGTCAGCGCAGGCGGAGCAACATGATGAAGAGCAGCATCAACAGCAGCAACATGAAGACCCGCAAGAAGAGCATCTACATAAAGAGGAGCAACAGCAGAAGCCGCCGCAACGAGCAAAATCCCGCCACAAAGCACCCGATGACACAGGGCATCCCTTTGATGTCGATGCCACAAATGCCAATGCGACAACACAGTCCACAGGGCGGTCCACAATGCCCCCAGCTATGGCAACAGCAACAGCACCCGTACCAGTCCTACCCCCACCACCACCACCACCGTCACGACATCGCACGAAAGCGCTGCCGCTGCTCTATCTGGTGGGTGGGGCGCTGCAGCAGCGGCAGTTCGCGAATCCAATTAGTTACTTGGGTGGACCGCGACTGCAGCCGCGCAGTAATCGCAACAGCATCGAGTCGATATTATCGCTGGATTAGCTCTGCTGGGACTCGAGCTAATCGCACACACCTCCAACAGCAAGGCCTTTTACTTACGTATCACCTCTAGTCTAGTGCTAGTTAGTGCTCTAGTTAGTTAGTTTATCAATTTTATAGTTAGCGAATGTTGAACAAATTGTTGCTATAAATTAAAGGAATTGTTATTGATAATTCGTAATTGTTTATTGTTAATTTCAGAGAAACTGAAGCGAATCATTTCATGCACGTAAGTAATGTTCCATACAACCATTCACATTTTCAAATTGAGCGCTCGATTGTTTACATTTTAATATTTATCGTGCTATCGATGCTGGAATATCGATAGCTGGCTACCTTTTCGTGCTTACACACCCTGCAATGGTTTGTGTTTAAATGCCAATCCGATAGGTGGCGTCAGCGTTAATACCATGCGGATTTTTAGACTGTTTTTGTTTAATGATTTGAAAAATAATGGCCTGCAATTATGCATTGAAAAGTAAACAATCTGACAGCAAATTGATTTATTTATCGCATATAATTATTACTTCTTTACAAATTGGTATGCGAAAACTCTTAAAGCAGCTGCAAAAACTGACAAATCTTTGCTGCTCTAATAAAGTCAAGGAATTTCGTCTGAATTGTTTACTTATTTGGTTCGTTGTCTAAGTTAACAATAACCTCAGATCTGTTTATGGTATGCGAGTACCTCCAGTGACACTCTGTCCATCGAACATCCAAATTTACGAAGCAACCCAAACACACACAGAATTTGTTGTACCTTATAGCTAGCTATATTTAGGCATTAATTAAACATATACACGAGTACGGCAGTTACAGATTTATAAATATTTATTGAATTAGATTAGGTTTACGCCCAGGCGTTAGATATTTTGCGTTTTCTGTTATCTCTAGCTTATAGATGTTCGATCCATGAGGAAGCTGGAATCGATTGCCCTACAAAATAAATTGTATTTTAGCCTACGATGAGTAGGGGGAGGCGTCCGCAGGGGACGAGGACATGGGACACGACATTCTCCGCGCACTTAGATTAAGGTTTAAGCAATGATCTGTGATGGGTGAGGGTTGGGTGGTGGGTTGGTGGGGTGTGTGGGCTATGAATGTTAAGCTAGGACGGGGGGGAGAGACGATGCTAGGTAAAGTCCGGCGGCTTGTACTTCGGCGGTCGCTTAATTGGCTTCTATAACCAATTGCGGCCGCCACGTCATATGTTGTTCTCCTTGGCGGCCTTGGCACCCGAACTGGAGCCAGAGCCAGAACCCGAGCCAGAGCCACCGCCAGTCGCTGCACCACCCGCGGGCGCACTCGAATCGTTGTCGCTTTTGTTGTTGCTGCTGCTGTTGTTGTTGCTGTTGCTATTCGCATTCGATGCGGTCGATTCCTCACCATCTGCGCCATCTACTGCAAAGGAAGAACACAAAGGATATAAGTTTGATGCTTCGGGAGCGACCTGCGTGCGCCACTCACCCTTCTCCTTTTCATCCTTGATCTCGCTGGACGCCTCCGAGGATGCCTTGTTGCTGTTGTTGTCCTTGTCCAGGCGCGGCCGCTTGCGCTGACCCTTGTACGCGCGATTGTCGCGGCGTCCGCCCTCGCCTTCGTCCTCCGAGTCGGAGTACTCGTTCTCGGGCACAATGCGCTTATCCTTGTCGCTCTGCGGCATGCGATCATCCTTGTCCACCTTGTCCTCGTCGTCGGACTCATCGTTGATCGCATCCTCGGGTATTTGCTGCATCTGTACGCCCGGTGCGTGTGGCAGCATGCGCAGGTTCTCGAACAGCCGATTCTTGATCTTCTCGAGGTACTCGGACGTGTTCTGGTTGGTCATGTTGCTGGGGCTGATGTGCAGCTTGAAGTCGGGCCCAAAGTACTCGAAGTAATCGTTGTACGGCAGCTCGTTGGCAATCTCCACGGCCAAAGCCACGGACGTCTCGTAGGTCCAGCAGCGTGAGACATTGCGAATGGTGTAGCCACCGCCGCCGACCATCAGGAAGGGCAGGTTGTACTTCTTCACGAAATCCACGCACTTGCCGTGCCCCTTCACTGTCAGATTGAAGCAGCCCAGTCGATCGCCAGTCAGGGAATCGGCGCCGCATTGCAGCACCACCGCCGCCGGCTGGAATGTCTCCATTACCTTTGAAATGATGGGCACAAAGATGCTCTCGTACGCATCATCGTCCATGCCATCGCGCAGGGGTATATTGACGGCGTAGTACTTGCCCTTGCCGGCGCCAATGTCGCGCAGGTCGCCGGTGCCCGGGAAGTACTCCCCGTACTTGTGGAAGCTCACAGTCATCACGCGGTCCGTGGTGTAGAAGGCCTCTTCGACGCCGTCGCCGTGGTGCACATCGATGTCGATGTAGAGAACACGCTGGTGGTACTTCAGCAGCTCCAAGATGCCCAGAACGATATCGTTCACATAGCAGAAGCCGGAGGCCTCCGACTTCTTGGCATGATGCAGTCCGCCGCCCCAGTTGATGCAGATCTCGGAGGCCTGTTTGTTCAGCTTGACGGCAGCGGCCACGGAACCGCCCGCCGACAGCTGACAGAACTCGTAGAGACCATCGAAGACGGGGCAATCCTCGCCCACATTGAAGCGCTGCATCTGCTTGTTGTATTCGGTCATGTTGTCCGGCCGGATGGAACGCAGGAACCGGACGTACTCGTCCGAATGGAACTTGGTCATCTCATCGGCAGTGGCTTTGTGCGGTCGCTGCGGGCGTTGTCACATTATTATATTATAATTCTCTGTCTAATTAGCGGCTCTAAATCTTGGGACTTACGTAAATCTCCATTTTGCGGTAGAGACCATAGTTCAGGAGCAGATTGTGGGTCATGCGTATGCGATGGGGCTTCATGGGGTGTCCCTGGCCATAGTAGTAGTTGCCAATGTCACCTGGAGATCATAAATACCAAGGGTTATATTGGCGAAAAATCAAGTAATTGCCACGCTATGCAGAAAATATATTTTACGGCCAGCGTCGCCGAGGCGTCCGCGCACACAGCGCACTTTTCGCCCAACAACCGTTCGGAATACACTTTCGCTGAACAAAGCCGCCATACAGGTACATGCACGCACACTTCGGCATACACACACACCACCAAAAATCTCTCTGCGGTCGTCATCACAAAAGTGCGCTCTGGCCAAACGCGCTTGTACAGTCGCCGTAAAACTTGAAATTCACAAAATGCTATCATCCGCCGCCAAATAGACCCGGAAAATTAGCCCCCGGCACCGAAAAACACTTTGGTGGTCGTTGAATCAGAATTATCCACTGGAAGGTGTTCATTATTACTTATTTAATGCAAAAACTTACTGTCGTAGTAGTAGCAGACACGCTTTTTGCTGTGAGATTGCATTTTTGTTGGGCTGCGTTGTCTCTGGGGCGGTGCTGAGAGTTCCCTGCTGTTGCAGTAGGTGCTGGTTAAAATTTGGTTTAATTTAACACAACTGCAATTTTATATGCCACAAAAGGCTCGCGTCACCGGCTTTTTGCAGGCGCCTTTAGTTACAATTATTTTTTTGCAAAAGAAACACTCGCGCGCACCGCCAGTGTGGCCGCGGAATTATCGATAAAATATACCGGTAGACCCACGGTAATATACCGAAATGTACCCTTTCATTTTGAAAATATACTGTAAATATACCGTAAATCTAAAATCATTTTCCTCGACTTTGATCTTCTGTTACATATTACTAGCTAGCTTGGATTCCCAGCGCTAAACCCATAATTCTATCCGATTCATTTAACAATTCCATACAATATCGATTACTTTTCATGTCTTCTTTTTATTAGATTGTTTACAAAATTAGGTTACAACTATAAAGCATTAAAAATAAAAATAATAGCATTAAAAGATACATGGGTGGGAATGGAATGTTACGTATTTTGACAACTTGTAGATGTCAACCTTTTTATACCCTATTACCCGTTGGAATGTATGTTGCAAATGGTAAAAAAGTAACCGGGAACTTTGAAAATTGAAATACATATGCTTGAAAAATGTCGATGTGCCAAAAAATAATTCTGGCAGCGCCTGCAATCCGCCAGCAAGGGGTGTTGGACCACGAGGTGTTGCTTAATGCTTGCTATAAAATACATTCTCTTGCTGACCTTTTCGGTCAAATTTATTCAAATTGGACTGTCTTCTAGGCAGTTGATTCATATTTTCATAAAATGCCATGTTAAAGGAGGAAGGCTATTCACCCATTTAAATAGTAGGTGGTTAAGTGGGTTAAGTTCCTCAGTATATTTTTGGTATTTTTGGAAGATGAGACAGTATATTTCGGTGGGTCACACGATATTTTCCATCAATAAATCAGCAGTCACACTGTTCAAAACATCGAAGTTACGGTAAAAAGACGCGCGTGTGTGATCGGAAAAAGTTTGAGCGCCGCTGCAAGCACAAAATGCAATAAAATAAATGGTAGACTACAGCGGCTCCGCGCCTCGTGTGATAAAAAAGATAATGCAATATTAAGAGAGCCAGAGAAATCAAATCGGTTGGCGCTTTTAGTAGAATTTCGCGAGATTTTCCAACGGCGTTTGTGGCTATTCGTGGTCCGGTGTTTTGTGATTTCCTTGTTGGATATAAACAGAGATACCAAGTGCTATATAGTTGAATGAAAACGCTGTGAAAATTTCAATTTAATAGACGGAGTTCGACGCGTAAGTTTCCAACTGTGTTTTGTGTGCCTGTGTGTGTGCATGTGTGTGTGTAGGAAAAAGAGAAAGAAGTTCCAAGCGGCAGCAGTGGAGTTGCAGTGGAAACACCAACAGCAACACTCACTCGCTCACACACATGCACTCACACTTGAAAATGAGTTAAAGAAGAATTGGGAAAAATGGAAATAAAGTGACAAAGCGGAGTAACAAGAAAAGAACGCAACTCCGTTGATGAAATTTAATTAAAATAAATCAGAATTAAAAGACAGCATTAACAGAGTCGGGAAATATCCTGCGCAGCTCTCTCTCCCTCTCTCTCTCACTCCTCTCAATCTTTGTACTCTCTTTCTCCAGCCGCTTGCCAGCAAGTTATTCTTTATTTTATGTTCTCTCTCGTTTTCCCCCCTCGCAATAGACCAACGCCTTGCCCAGCAACTTCTGTTACTTTTTGCTTCCTTCGCGACTCTATTTTTGTATTCTTTTTCTTTTTTTTCTGTGATTCCCTGACTCCCACTCGTTTTCTTCATACTTGTGCCGTCGTTTCCTTGTGCCCACTCCATTTCAATATACTGTTCTTATTGTTTTCGTGCTTCGCCTCCCTGTCTTCCGCATTTTTTTTTTTGTGAACTCCCCTACCCCGAACGCCCGCAGGATATTTCTCCTGTTCACATTTTTTTGGTGTTCCTTTCCCCACTCGTACGTGTTTAATTATAGTTTCGCTGCGCTGCTCTCTCTCTTTACTACTCTCCCGCATTCATATCTCTTCCAATTAGCGGCCCGTGTGCCTCGAATTTCGGTGCACAGCTGAACTTCAATAGTGTGTCAGAGAGAGAGAGAGAAAACTCGATTTGATTTACTTTGATCATAGTTGTATTTCTTGCTTTTAGTCCCCCCTAACGACCGTGAAAATAAGCAAAAACATAAAGCCAGCAGAACAGCAACAGAGCGACGCGTTTATGGCCGTAACTGTAAATATTCGCGGAGTTTAGCGGGTAAGCCGGGGCTGCTTTTAATAGTTGCTGCCAGCAGCAGTTAAACCCCCAAAGATTGCCATTTTGATTTATTCTAATTAAAAGAGAGAAAAAAAGGTAAGTGTGAGCACTTTTTTTCGCATTTGTTTTTCTGTTTCGGTCACGAAACTGGTTATCGCTCCTTTTCATTCGCACCTCCGCAGTGGCATTATGCTCTTTCGTTTGCTTTGCCTGCATTACAAAGTGCCGTTAAAGAGCAAATGAACGCATCAAAAAAGCATAAGTAAACAACATGGCAGGCAGAACTAATACAGCAAGAGGAAAGGAACTTCCCGAAGATATTGATACCCTTTCAGTTTAACCAATTGGAGTTGGAGTTGTAAAAACACACTTTATTTTAGACACGACATGGAATGCAAACATCTGGTTAAAATAATAATTCCCTTAGTGAGGGTATCAAGAGATCTAGCATGTCAAAGAGGAGAGTGAGAGAGAGATCTGCTCTCCCGCTGCAGTTTATATTAATGCTGCGCTGCTGGCTGCAGTCTGCTGGTCTGCTCTGCTGATAAAAGCAAAGCCATTTTTATTTCTCTGCTGCGGTCGCTGCAGGCTGCTGTAAAAGTCAAAGAGAATTTTGTTATTGGGATTGCTGCTTTTGTAATTGTCTGTAATTTAGTTGTGGAGCTGGAGAGGGAGGTCCGACGTAGACTGTTTCCATAGTCTACCAGCAGAAGTAGCAGCAGCAGCAGCTGGCGTCAGCGTCGGCGCAGCAGCTGCTCTGCTGCTCTCATTCTCGCTCTCTCTTCATTGCCCTGCCTGCCGCCTGCTTGCTATTTTCGGCATTTTTGTGTCGGCTGCTGCTATGTTGCCCCTCCACTCCATGCCGCATGTATTTATTTACCTTTTGGTGTCTTGTTTATTGTTCCCTACCCCGCCCTCAACTTTTCTCTCAATCCCCGTTGTGCTTTGAAGTTCAAGCCACAATTTTGTTTGGATTTTTCAGCTATTTTTGTAGCTTATCTGCGCTCCACTGAAGCTTACTCTGTCTCCTCCCTCCCACTGTGGTGCTACTGCTGTGTGGGGAGACTGCAAGTTGTATTTTTTTCGTTCACGTTTCCCCTTTGTGGCTAGCCGCTGATAAAGCCCGCAAATAGTTTTGCATCATTTTGCATACCCTTTTAGGGTTTATTCGACAGCCGCTTGGTAGCAGCACCCCGATGCGGTGAAATGGGAGGCAATTATGCTTTTTGGCCCCCACCCTCTTCTCGCTTTGTGGGTTCACTCTGACTCTTTGCCCCGCTCTGCCAGTGGTAATCATTGAAAAATGGCATTCGTAAATGCTCGAAACGAGTAAATCTGCTCAACTCGTCCAACGGCAAATTTGTTGAGATCTTTTCATTTCTCTATTTCGCTTGCTGTGTGTTTCTCTTCTTTTTTCATGTTTTTTTTGCCCACAAAGCGTTTTCAAAGGCAATCAAAAGAAGGAGCGCAGAGGGTGAGAGGAGCAGCCAAACAACAACTGTAAAAGTAGTCAAAGCACAAGTGGAGAAGGGAGGGGTGGCAGCAGAGGAACAATCACAAGCGCAAGTAGAAAATTCAATTGTTCGGAGCTCTCTTTTGCTCTTCCTTTGTGCTCTCTGTGTGCAGTGTGTGTGTGGAAGTGCAATGGTGTGCGTGTGTCGTCCACTTAGCCCGCAAACAATGCGCGTTTTATTGATAACGAAAGAAGAAGAAACAAAAAGAAAAGACGAGAGAACAAAAAAACTGAAAGTGCGTGGCAAGTGGAAAATGCAGATAGTGATGGGAGCGTGAGTATAGAGGTGGGAGTGGGAGTGAGCGTGTGAGGGCATATTTAGATTTATAGGTGAGTGTGGGGAATGCCCATGCGGCACTTGAGCTTCTTCAGCAACACGTCGTCCTGCACGACTAAATCCAGGCGGTGTGAAAACTTCTGTAGCATAGAGAACATGCAGTGTCCGATGCCTTCGATAAGCTTCTGATGTGTTCCACACAGTCTGCCACCCCTGGCCATCTGCAGATTTCGGGCCGCATACAGGTGCTGCTCCACCAGGAGTAGGGCCTCCAGGAAGCGGCCAAGATCAGGCTCCATCAGTCGGCATTTGTCCTCCTTCAGCGAGCGAATGCAGATGCGGACGAGACCGCGCAGCACATCGTCCAGGTGCTCGGCATGGCGCAGCACATGATTCATCTTCTCCATGGGGTTCGTGTCGCAGAAGTAGTGCACCGTGGCGGGGAGCACTGATAGGCATTTCCAGATGCCACGGCACCAGCTGACCAGCATTTGGAGCATGTTTGGGCATTGACATATCTCGTTCAACTGCAAAACGATTCCTTCTATGGGCTCCGAGGGTCGCCCACACGTCGGGCACCTTTTTATGGGCTGGCACGAGGGTGGAAACTTAAGATTCCCCTTGGTCAGCTGATCACGGAACGGTGTACACTTTGGCATATTCTGGGCGCTCTTCGTAGTTGAGGGCCTTGTTGCATCCCTAAGTCCTTCTTTTGGGGTCTTCTGGATCTGCTGATTGTCTTCCATTGCGTTCTTCATGTTGGCCAGGAACTCGTCCACCATTCCCATAATCAGTTCGCGCAAGTTCAGCCAGGATGTGTGCAGTCGAGTCGGCGAAAAGATGGTCGGGCATAGAGGGTTGCATTGACTGTAGGCTGCGTCGTAGAATTCGCTAGCCGCCAGCAGGCGGAACCCGAAGAGGCACTCCACATCCAGTGCCATGTAGAATGACAGTTGCAGCTCGGTCATGCCCTCCGGCACTTGGCACATCTTCTGGCGACACACCCACAATATTATAGGCTCCCAGAGTCTCTCCATATAGCTCGCGTTCTCTTCTCGGTGATTGAGTATCAGCGGCAATTGCTGCTGCATCACCATCTCGTACAAATTCTTGATCATGTGCAGTTTGCTCAGGACGAGGGTGGTCAGGAGCCAGGCCCAAAACATTTTCCCAGCACTCCATCCGTGTCCCCAGTCATAATCTAGCACAAGGGTGCCATAGCATGACTGGATGAGGCCAGAGACGAACGTTGTCACGACGACTAGTCGGATTTTATGGGACGTGAACGTGCTCTCGGAGATCGATTGCCAAATGTGCAGGCCAACATCCAAACCGATTAAAGAGAACCGGCGGATATGCATCCCATGCTCGTCCAGAAAGTAGGCGATGCCGCAGGAGCAGCCGTGGATCAGCAGAAATTTGGATGGCCAATAGTCGCCAAAGACGTTCATGAAGCGAGAGTAGAGCCAGCTGGTGAGGATACTCACGTAGAGGATCATGCCCAGCAGGCGAAGGCGCAGTGGCATCTGCTGCCCCATTCGCTGCAGCCGTGTCCGATAGCTGATCGGCTGTTTGTTGTGGATGAGACACAGCAGCAGTCCATAGGCTGCCACACCTGGTTGCACCACAATCAGCAGTGGAATAAATGCGAGCAGCGTGCCGTCCGGGATACCACGCAGGAAGCTCAGGGAACACGAGTAGAACAGCAGCAAAAAGTCGAAGAAGACGCACAGCAGCGTGGCAGTGTAGTAGCGTGATAGCAGCAGGATCCAGATCTTCTCGGGGATTTCCTCAACATAATTTGGCAGCCACCGAGGGCGACACTTATATTCACCTATGATTCCAAACATTTTTTTCAGATGGGACTCCTCTGATGATGGGACTGACTGAACTCTAGCCTCTGTATTTGAAAGCATAAACTTAGCTTAGCCCCCTTGGATGCCCAGAAATTGTCAAGCATTTGATGAACTGATTTTCTGTATTTATTTGCAACCCAAGTAATTACGAATAATGTCTCCATTGACATAGTTATCTAATGCCAAATGGAATGGACATCAATCTGCTTAATGGATGCAGTCGACCCAGGCTGCTGCTCTGCAGTTTGACCTCAGAAACAGGTCCATTGTCCACTGTGTCTCTCTTTCGCTCGCGCTCTTTGCTTAAAGTTGAACGTTTTTGATGCCAACTTAAAAGTTTCCTCTGCGAGTTACCCTTACAAAAGGTATTTCATTTTTTAGTATGTCCAAAGACCGCCAAAGAGTGCCCGAAAAGATATTATATATATAGATATATTATGATAAGAAACCAAGTTTAAGACATTGATAGATCGAATTTTGCCATCTTTTGGTAGTTAGTTCTGATTGTAGTTGCATTTTGAAGTGCATTTGATATTCGTTTAGCCTTTTCTTTCTAGTCTTCACACTACATCTGCGCTGTACAGGTGACTGACGACTGGCGGCTGCTGGATTCCAGCTGTGGAACAAAGTTTGTTTGCCGCTGCAGGGCGCAACATTGCATTTTCCAATTGTTTTTATTTGGTGACTTTTTATGGGGTTCCACTGTTCTACCTGTCTTGGGGGTAGTGGAAACGTTTCAGAGACGACTCTGTCGTTGCTGTGGGGAAAAAGTTCTAATTTATGTCGTTAAGTTTTACGCCTGGCAAGAAGAAAAGTTTGTTGTAGTCAGTTTTAATGGTCAAGCGGTTGGCAGAAGGAGCGGAGCGATGGAGAATGGAAATGAAAATGGACACACAGAAATGAGGATGAGGATGAGGATGTTGCTCTATGACCGGCTAACCCAAAAGCCCCACACAGTGGACACGGTACGGCCAGGCGGCATGCCCGGGGGCCAATTAGATTTATGGCATTAGCACAGGTCGTTGGCTATAAAGCACTCGCACGCTTACGGCGGCAAAAATCAACGTGCAAATGGAAGCCAGAGGCAGGGCAAAGGATAAGAGGATCCCCACACATCCTCGAAAACAGGCCGAGCAGAAGGCCGCCCCCCCGAACACTGTTTGTTCCGCTCTTACTTCCCGTCTCACACACACACACACGCTCGCACTCTCCAAACGCTCACACTCTCCCCACTCTCCACTTGCTGTACTGTGTTTGCCCCCCTGCTTCATACTCTCCACTTTATCCGGCACTCGAGTGCACATCCGCTGGGCAGCAAAACATTGTTTCATTCCATAACCGCGCCGACTACTTTAGCCCCAAGGTGTATGGAAAGATAGGTGAAGCATTGCCTGAGAGACACACAGATCAAGCGAGACAAATAGATTGGAAATCAGTAGAGCGATGGGGATTGCCCGTACCTTGATGTAAATGTACTTTGCTTTTGCACTTTATGCAGTCGCTGCCGCTGCTGGCTTCGCCGTTTGTGGCGGTGCTCTCTCTCACTCTCGCTCCCTTACTCACACTCGAAAGCTTTGTTCGGCAACGTGTTCCGGTTTGCCATTCATTCTTTTGCATTGGCCCTTCCTTACCTTTCCCACCTCTCTCTCCTGGCGCTTTCTCTCTCTCTAACCGCTCTCCTGGCTCTCCTGCCTCTTGCTTTCCGGCTTCCCTCTTCCGTCCGCTACATTGACGCGTGTGCTCCTGGGCCGCCGCACACATTTCCGGACTCTCAACCGGACTCTTTTTTTTCCGCCGCCTCTGTTTCTGTTGCTGTGTGGGGTGGTTGTTGCTGCTTTTGGCTAGTTTTCGATTTTATCGATTTTCATAAAGCAGCTTTTATGGGCAGGCAAAGGCACATTTCAGTGGCAAAACTTTTTGCCGCCTCCTGTTACTCCAATTAGAGAGCCACGACACACACACACACACACACATAGAAACACGAGCACACACATGTTCATTTGCATGTAAAAGAGAGCAAAAGAGAGTACATTTTTGGCATTCCAATTTGGGTTGTTTGTTGCAGCTGCAGATGGGAGGCGAGCCTTTTTTTGGTGTTTGGCTTCCATAAATTGGATTTAAACTTTAACACAATCAAGCTTCCAATTCCTTCTATGTACATACATTTTTTAGGTTTCATTTTATGTCCGTCAAACGACAAAGCAATGCTTGAAAAATAATTATTTTCTGCACCAATTAGCCAGTAGATCTCCGTACAAGCCGACAAGCAAGCAGTGCATTCGTCCGAAAAGCAAAAGGTAAAGCTTGTATGACACTCATTTTTTCGTTAATTAGCAAGCAGTTCAATTGGAAAGCGCTTAATTCATTTTAGAAGCAGTAATAGCAGGAGAACAGTTTAATTTGTATCTTTACTACTTTACAGCTAGATATTTTGTTACTCCTCCAAATATATTACTCGTACCATTATCCATTTCCTCATCTAGCAGTAATCTCCTGACGCGTTGGTCAGTAAGAACTTGAAGTAAACATCATACTGGCTTACTGCAGCTGCAACCAGCCGACCCACTTCGGCCCTCAACTTATAGAAAGAACACCAAAACCCTAAAGTATAATATTTCTTCTTCTCCTTCTTGCCGACTTAATGAAAAGTTTTTAATTACAAGGATCAGTGACAATAAAAGTTTATGAGGCGAAAAGCTCTCTCCCTGCTCTGGTGTAATTTTCTTGCAAATAAATACGAAAAGCGTGGCAAAAACTAATAAAACTAGTAGGTCCAACTCTCAGCTGCTGGAACTATTATCCATGAGGAAAAACACCCGCAGAAACAACAAGAAAATCGAGTTGAAGTTTCGCCTTTTAATGGTAAAGTAAAGTTTGGCTAATCCCTGCCAAAAAATGAGAGAAATATATAGACACCAAAAGGAAGGGGGAGGTCCAATAAAAACAGACAGTGGGATGTGCGGACTGTTGCGCTGATATTGGATGTTGGCAGAAAGTTTGGCTAAATCTCTGTGAGAGTGGGGAGATCTCTGGCTATGGCCTGTGACAGTGGCAACAAAATGGCAAATCGATTTCCAAATGCAATCTCTGTAAAGCAGTGAGGCTAATATTCAAATGAAATTTCAGTACATTGAACCCCAGAGATAGAGAGAGAGAGAGAGAGAGAGAGAGCGAGAGATGTAGATAGAGTCCTTGCCTGTGCCTCCCTCGCCCTCGACAAGGTGTGAATGTGCCGCAGGAGGATGTGAGAATGGTTAGAGGCAGGAAGAGAGCTTCCAAGAGGGCTCTAGGAGGAAACCAGATAAATATAAACACGAAAGTGGAGCAAGCAAACCCCGGAGCCGCAATAACTGTCATGGGAGGGATTTCCCTCAGAAGCTGGAAGGGTTGGGGCTGTACAGATGGAGTTGAACGTTCCAACGTAAAGGAATTTCCTTTGCATCAACCCCACAGCTGTCTGGGCTCTAGCCTTTCTCTGTGTAATTCCCCCAACACTTGAAGAACTTGACAATCTTCACATTTTCGGGAGGGTTCGGGGGGAGATGGAAGTCATAGACAAACAGGCACTCGAAACCTTCAAATGGAATTAAAAAGTTAAACCAGAAATATGTGTCTCTGTGTGTGCGTGTCAGTGTAATCCCTCTGCCAACCCTTAAATGCTCACTCCAACCCCAAGATGTGCTCTTCATTCTCTGCAACTTGCTCTGTGGGGTTGCATCTTCTGAGGCATCTTCTTCCGCATCTGTTAAGACATTAGAAGGCCACTTTGTTGCCAGCAAAAGTTGGAGATGCCCCTTTGGGGCATTTATAATTAGTGACAACTGCTAGGAATTTCAAGTTCTAAGAGTGATGAATGTGTGGAGAGAATGAAAAACTAGAAGAAAGGGACGTGGCACAACTGAAATATCTTTACTAATGAAACTCCCATATAAAAATCACTTAATGTAAAAATTTCTGAGAACTTTCCTGACGTTTTAGTAATAGCAAAATGATTATCGTGCCAAAAACCTTCATTCCATTCCCACCCATTCATAAAGTTTCTCGATTAATTCTCAGTTTCATTTCCAACACGTGAATTCCTCGTGACAAATACGTGATAAATTGGTTGTATATCATCACCCCCAGAGAACCTCAGAAACTCAGAAACTCAGACATGCAATGCGCATCGTTTATAGGTCTCTGGACGGGTCTTGAGTTATACGAATGCACTTTGTGGGGGAGAAAGACTTTTAGGGGAAAAGGGAGCCAACTCCCCATGAGGGCCACACCAAAAGAACTAGGGAAAGAGGCGAGGCGGTCTCCACACAAAGTATGACAGCAAAGATGAGCGTATTTTCCATGGGAATTTGTTGAAGATTATAGTATTCCTTACTACATTTCTTCTATGGCTGCAGAGAAACTCCGCCCCATGACAAATAGCTCCTTTAGGCGGTGGAACTTAAATCTTAAACGTACATCTTCTTTTAGCTACAATTTATCTTGCTGCCACCATGTGGTGTCTCCGCCCTCGGGAGATTTTTGTCTGCTGTGTAATTTGTCGCAAAAAGAGTTCCAGGTTTTTTGTTTGTTTTTGCATTGTACTTTTGCAGCAGCTTCTTCAATTGAATTGTCCAGCTCTCGTGAGTAAATGTCACGCTGTGATTGCTCCGATAGCGAAAATCTCAGTCTCATTTTGCTGCTAGAAGTGCACTCCGACCGTATCTGTGTCTCCTTCTATCTATTCGCTGCATTGCGTTGCATGCTTTTGTCTCGAGTGCATTGCAGTTGTTGGAATCGTTGCTGTGGAGTGTCCATTGGGTACAGCAGGAAGGGGGCTCCACTTGAGGCAGAAACACAGCAGAAGCCGAAACTAAATCGAATTGAAGACAAATGCTGAAGCTCCCTCTCCCCAGAATGTGCTTCTCCCCTCTCTACTTGAGGCGCATTGCACTTTGCTGATTATTGTTGTTCCAATTTGTTGGCCGTTCACTCATTCATTCAGTCAGTCGTTTCGGGTAGGCTACGTGATGGAGCAAACTCTGTAATCAATTTGACATAGATTTCCCAAATCAATATATGGTTTTGTCACGAGCCAGAGGCGGCTAACGGGGCGGGGAACCTACAGATAATTGTTAAATCAACAAGCAGGAAAAGCACCTCTTGGATTTCTCTCTCTAACGCTTTTCCTCTGGCATCATTCTTCAATTTTGTGGCATTTCTTCAAATAGTTTCCGTAAATTGCAATTTATTTTGTGGCAAAGATAATTTTCGAATATTTGCCAGAAAATATTTTCCCACATTTGCATCGATTGCAGCCGGCAGCCGGCAGTGGCAGTAGCAGCAGGCAAGAGGCAGGCGGCAGCTGTTCAACCAGAAAACTGTTCACATTGCATGTCTGCCTGCCTCTTCTGGTTGCCACTGTGCCACATAAATAGCTAAACATGCAGCACATTTGTTGTGTTTTATGGGGCCGGGGGATTCGTCTCGGGAGTTGGGTGGAGCGCTCAAGGATTGACGGAAAAGCGCGCTGAATAGTTTCTGATTTACTACAACGAAAAAAAAACGGAGTTTTATTGGCAGTGTATTTTGTTGTTGTTTGGCTGCCATGTAACGGTGCTCTTGAGACCTCGCCGACTGGAGGCAACGGCGTCGTCTCTTATCTGGACAGCACTTGAGATCTGTTTGGTTTCATTTGTGATTTGTTGTTTCGGTTGTGTGTGGAGTGTTCCCAGTGCTCTGGAAATGAGATGCACTGACACGCAAATGACATGACAGGGGAAACTTGAGCAAATAAAAGTATTAGTAATCGTTTTTTCTATGTTTTTGATCCATACTTGTGGAGATTTCTTTCATATTTATATTTTAAATTGAGGAAAAATGTTTGATTAAAGTTGAAAGAACTTTATAGCGACTGCTCTTTTCTATCGCTCATTCAAACTGTTTGCACTCGATGATATTTTCCCATCAAACATTCTCGACGTTCAGTCGCCAAATATTTGTCCCCATGCCATATGACGCCTGCTCTCTCTTTTGCTATCTAAAAGTACTCGATCTAAAATAAACACAAGAGGAGAGCGGCAGTCAGACCCTTCAAATTGTTATGTGGGGCGTACACTCTTCGAATGAGTGGGTGGGGGGAAGAGAGTGAGCGCGGCTAAAGAGAGAGCGAGCAGCGGGCCAGCTGTGAGACTGACGGAAACTGAAAGTGATGCATCTGCTCTAACGACTTTGGGTCATGCTGCCCCCACTCCTCACTCTTCACACACACACATCCTGAGACATTCCCTCTGGCTTTGTAAGCAGGTCACGTGAAGAAGAAAAAAATAAAATAAATGCCAAGAGGAGGGGGAGAGAGCCTGACAAAAGGAAGCTTGGTTTCAGCAGAGGGCAGCGCCAGGGGCAAAACGTATGCATGTAGGGGTCGCGGCCAGTAAATGTGATTGCTCTTCCTCACCCTCTCTGCCTTTGCTTCTCCTTCTGCGACTCCCTGCTCAACGCCTTTGCCTTTTGCATATAATTTGCTTGATTCTTTTTGTCTGCTTTGCTTTGTTTTGTCTTTGCCTTGTGTCGTGTCTTGTTTTAACGCGTCTTCTTTATTGTCGTTTGTCGCTCTGCTTGGCAATTGTTTCAACGTGTTTGAAATACTTATCTTAAGCGTGGCCTAGGGAGAGAGCCGACAACCACGGCCACAAACAGAGCGCTCCAGGGTCTGGGTCGTCTTGCTATCTCTCTCGCTCGCGGTCTCTCTCGCTTTGAGGCTCTCTTTGAGCGGTTTGTTTTGCTTTATGCTTCGTCTGCCCATGTTGCTATTGCTCTTGTTGCTCCATACATATACAAATGAAGTTGCTGCTGCTCTCACACACACACACACACTCACACATTCACACATAAAAAAATCAATATTTGCGCCGCGTCGCCGTCAGCGTCATCGCTCAGCATTTGCCCCTCTGATTTTGCTGTTGTTGCTATTATTACTACATTTTATTGCTCCTCTTTTGGCTTATATTTGCTCTTTTTGTTTGCGCTTTAAGCGGTCTATCCGTTTCGTCAGGCCTGTCCGTCAGGCACACAGGCAGCAGCAGCTGATAAGCGAAAGAGTAGCGGCCGATGAGGCCCCTGTGATGCGGATGTGAATATGGGAACCCTGGCAACACACGAGGAGTGGGACGGAGAGAGGCCTACTAACACTCATAAATGTACATACGCGAGTACGATTTTATCTAGATACTCATACAGGGGTCACTCGAAAAGGGGAACCTTCACAAATTTCGAGTATTTCTGGGAACAAGAATTAGCCAATTAAGCCAAGCCGAAATCCCTATGAATCGTACTTTTTATGACCGAATTCCTCGGCCCACAGGCACTAAGCATATCCACCAAATGTATTCTCAATTAATTCTCTCAACTGAATCATCTAATTGACAATTTTGTCTGTCTCTTTATCTCGTTGCAGGTGGCAGAGGTAACCAGCTCTAACCGAATCAAAGGTGAGTGCCACGGGGACACACTGAAACACACACAAATGGAAATGGGGAAAAGTGGTTACTAATGGAAATGGAAATGGGAATATTTCCCAATTTCAGTTTTACTTGTTCTATTTTTTGCTGTGGATTGGGCGGGGAGTACTCCTTGATACTGCCAACTTTTTGTCATATGCCTGGCTGACAGTGTGTCCGCTGCAGGCTTTTCTGAACTTGTTCCACTTTTGGTGGTGGAGAGGAGACCCCTAGGAGAAGGAAAGAGGAAAGAAGGTGGCATCTGCTGGTGTCCGTTTGCCTTTATCTTTGCATTCATCGTTGCGTCTCGCTCTCTGCCAAAAAAGTCTATTTCTTCATTCTTTGTCTTGTTTCTTTTTCTCCTTTTCCCCCAACTCCTGACTGTCTCCTTCTCTCTTATTCCTCTCATCAGCCATCTCTTTCTGTCGCTTGCACTCAAAGATAAAACGCGAAATTGTGCTGCTTGTTTTTTTTTCGTCCAACATCTGTGCTCAATTCCAAAAAAAAAACCTGCCCACAGCACAAGAGATGCTAAGGGGCGAGGGGGAGACCCCAGGAGAGGGACCAGCAACAGCAGCGGTAGCGGCGGACACCACTCGAGCAGCAGCAGCAGCAGCCGTTTGCTCCAGTTCTTGAAGTGGAGTCCAAAACGAGTTTTTCGGCACTTGCCCAATCACCGCCCCAAGCCCCGCTGGACAGCCAGGGGACAACCCCTTCATGCGAGAGAGTTGAGTCAGGTCTAGTTTCTAATACGCGCAAAAGTTGGTTGTGCTTTTTGGGCCAGAAAATGAAAACCGTAGTAGGCCTATTATTGAGGTCTTGGAGCACTCGCGGGTCCAAAGTATAAAGTTTATAAAAAAAACCATTTTTTCATGATAACTTTGACATGTTGCTAAATGGTTGTAAAAAATCAGCAATATTCACGACTAATGGTAGAATGGCAACCGTAAAACAGGAAACATAAAAAACAGAGACCCCAAAGCTATAAAAGATTTATAATCATTTCGATGGATAAACCGACAGTTGAACAGATTAGTTCTTCAGTTCGTAGCTACAGTATTTAGATAATTAAATAGATAAACCACTAAAATAATAGAGAATTATCTTCAAGAAGAGTACAAAGAGAACCTCGAATTTAGAGTACTTATTTGCATTTATTTTTAGTCTAAACTGTACGACTTTTAGTCTCAATCTTCTCTTTAATTTTCCATACAGTTATCTTTATAGTTCTCTTCACTGTTTTACCCCTCAACTAGTGGTCTTCGATGGATAGCCGCTCCTTCAAATAATTATAGAAAATACAAGTTTTTATTGCTCAACTTTGTACAGACTTCTTTCTGTTTGCATTTTTGTCCGCTTTGCCGCTGACGGATTTCTCTGAGATAAATTGAATTACCATGTTTTTTTTTTGTGTGTCTCCTTCGCACGCAGCAGCGGCAGCAATATGCCGTTGACTGTGCTGTCAAGTCCGGCTTCGTGCTTGCCCCCTCGAGGCGTGGCAGAGGCAGTGATGCATTGCCAGAGGCCAAGACGCGCGAGCTGCATCGATGCATTCCTCCTCTCTCGAGCAACTCTTTTGTTGTTTTATGTCGGAACGTGTTCGAATCACCTGGCTTCCCCTGCTGGGCGGAGGAGGAGTAAGAGGGAGTGGATGACACACGCGACAAGTTATGAAGGTGGGAAAGGGAGCGCAGTGGAGGGGCAACCCTTCAATGCCGCCTAGACCAAACCCTCGGCACGTCTGGCGTCTCCGATTTCATGACTAATGACACGCCAGCGAACTCATGGAGCTTGGGGCTTGGGGCATGAGAGGCATAAGGCAAAGGGCCAAGAGCGCGACGGGTAAGGCGAGAAGGTTAAGCGGCTGTTCCCATGAAATTATGGGGATTATATCTTTTGCTTTGTTTTTGTTTTTGTTTTTCCCCACAGTCAGGGCTTCACTGTACAGCCAGCCTGTGGGGCGTGGCCGGCAGCCAATTTCTCGTTCGTTATTTTTCTGCCTTTTTGGCCATTAATGAAGTAATGGAGCTGCCACTGCTGCTGCTGCTGCTGCTGTTGGCTCCCCTCCAGGGGGAAGCCTCCAGAATGCTGTTGGCCTGAGGAGGGAGCATCGTTATTTGGTTTCATGCATAAAATAGCTGCACATAAGTGCAACCGACGGCGCGTTGCAACGGCTGCAAGCTGCAGCATGAAATGTTGATGAAAATTTAATGAAATTGCAACGGCTGCAGCAGAGGCAGCGGCACAGAGAGAGGCGATCGGTCCGGTTGGCATCTTCTTCCTCGTTGGCCTCGTTGTGGGGATAAAATGTAATTTTGCGTTGCTAGTTTTTTGAGTGGCACACACACACACACACACACACACACACACACACACAGACACGGACAAACACCCAACGCCATGTGGCACACTCTTTCATTTTAATAGGTGTAAAAGCCTTAAGTTTATAAAATTATGCTCCTCGGAATTGTGTGGCATGAGCACTGAGAGGAAAGGAATGAATGAGAGAACTTTCTGCTAGATTTTGAATGAAATTAGTTACACAAATCCATCAACATTAAGGCACTTAACAGATGAAAGGATATATTTTCCAGACAGCTTTTTATGCCAGTAAAAGTTAAAGAAAGTTTTCATGTTTCGGCTTAAATTCTTGCCCAAATTCTAGCTTACATTTCTTTCAGTGTGCAAATCGTTTGAACTGTTGCAAGCTGTTGCATAAATCAACTTCACCTGCACCCGTGTGGTGTCCTCTACTGTGCTGCTGCTGCTGCTGTGTGCGTCTGTTTGTGCTTCAGATAACTGCAGAGCTAAGCGCCCCGCTTGAAACTATGTCAAGCCTGCCCCAAACGCCGGCACCCAGCCACACCCCCACACACCCGCCCAAACACTACAAATTCATGGCGCACAGAGGAGGAGCTTCTCTCTCTGCTGCTGCTGCTGCCGCTGCAACAGCCATCATGTATGCTCTATAAAATATTTGTTTAAACTTGCACTCTGGCCACACTCCCCCTGAGTTGTCCCGCCCGCCCGCTCGCTTGTATGGTGTTGATAAGCACACTTTGGCTGGCTGCCACTTGAGGCAACGCAACGCAACGCAACGGGTAATCACAACTTAAATGAGTAGTTTAATTTCGTTCAAGTGCAGCAAGAGGTGGAGCTGAGGCAGAGACTTCATTTGTGAAGCTAAACATAGAAAATAGAAGAAAGAAAATGGTAGATGGAAGGCGGTGGCAAGTTTCATTCCCGTATTTGCTGATGAGGCACGGCATAATTGTTTATTGTTTTCCCTTAAATTGTTGTTTATGTCTGCACTCGGGAGTGAAAAGATGCAACTGCAACTGCAACTGCAACATCATCAGAGGCCGACACAACAGAGCTCAGAGCTGTCTGACTGACTGCCTGCCTGCCTGCCTGCCTCGTCAACAACCTGACAATTTGTGCCCGTCTTGAGCCTCTGGTGATGGCATTGGGGCAAGAGTTGTGGCAACAGCCAGCAACAGCAACAGCAACTGCAATAAAAGTGCTAAAAAGTTGCATGCCCCCAGACTGCATCCTGTCATAGAGTCCTGCTGTTCCTCTGCTGTGCCTCATCATACAATTTTTTAATCTTTTAAAACTGAGTTGCATTGTTTTTGTTGCCACTGCCAGTGCCACCAGCTATGCTCAGGCTGCATTTCAAGTTGTCAAGCCAAAGAGTGAGAGAGCGCTAGGAAGAGAGACTGAGACTGAGACTGCCACAACAAACCCCTAAGACCCGGCAGTCTCAATCCCTGTCCTTGCATATTCCTCGGGCCTAATGAGGGCATTATAACTTTGTGGCAAACTTTGTTGCGGCCTCCATCTTCTATCCCCCTTCTTCTCTTCATAACACGCCTCTAGAAAACTAAGAAGTAAAAGATGCAGCCGGAGCAGCAGCGGAGACTGTTGCTAATGAGAGAAAGAGTTTCTAGCCAGATTTCCATATAAAACATGCGGGAGATGTAGCGCTGAAGAGAGGCAAAATGTGTAACTGTTTCAGTAACCCTTTTTATAATTTTCAGGGAGTATTACTCTATCTAAAAGGAGGGAACTCTCTAGGATGTTCCTAAAGATATTACTGATATTTTGTATGGGTACACTTAAAGTCGATTTATCGTTTAGAGCGCTTCTCCACTTGTTTTTTTTCTGCTTCTCTTTTGCCTGCTTTCTTGCTGCTCTTCTTTGTCTCTACTTCTTCTGTTGTGTTATTCCTCTTTCTCGTCTTTTGGCGTTATCTCTCGTTTCATTCATAATTTCTGTCGCATATGCAAGTGCGGCGGGGGTGGGTTGTTGCTGTTGGAGTGTTGCAGGATGTACATGTACCTGTAGCCCCCCCCCCCCCCCCCCCCCTCCTACGTGATATGTGGTTGGGGAAAGGGCGGTGGTGGGTGAAACTTTGTCGCGTTGTCAAGCTTTTGTGGGCGATGTTTTTCTATTTCTGTTATGTTGTGTTACCGTTACCTGACTGGGAATGGGAATCCGGCTGCCGCTGCTGCCTCGACTCCTCCCAAGTGTCTGCCAATGTCTGCTGTCTGTCTCCAGTGCTCTGCTCCAACTCCTGCCACTGATGTGGGAAGCCTGCCTGCCTCCTTCTGTTGTGTCTGCCAGTACACTGTCGACGCACGTACACAGAAATGACATCAGTCTGCCATGGCAGGGGGTGATGGTGGGTGTTAGGTGGCTGCTCCTGCTGCCTGTTCCTGCTGCCTGTTCCTGCTGCATTCCTGAGTAAGGAAATTAAATGCTCAAAGTCGGATGCTGGTGAAATTTCCGTTTTGGAAAATGTGTTAAAATTTGCCAAACTGTGGGACGTTTGTTATTCTCCATTTATTCAAATCAGAAATTGTTGTTGCTTTTATGCTCCCATTTCTGTTGTTGCTTTCCCGCTCTACGCTCCTCCTCTCTCTCGCTCTCTTATTGGCAGCGAAAGAGCTATTAAAATTTCCATGGGAATTGGTATATAATTTTTATGG